CGTGCAGCCGAATGAGACCTACCCATATTCTATCATACGTGCAGCCAGAATGAGAGCCGACAATCTATCATACGTGCAGCGAATGAGAGGCGCTACCATATCACAACGTGGCAGCCGAAATGAGAGTTCTACCATATCTATCATACTGCAAGCCGAGTGAGAGTCTACCATAAATCTATCACACCGGGCCGGCCGAATGAGAGTCTACCAATCTATCATACGTGCAGCCGAATGAGAGTCTACCATATCTGCATACGTGCAGCCGAACGAGAGCCCCTACCATATCCTATCATACGTGCAGCCGAATGAGAGCCTACCGATATCTATCATACGTGCAGCCGAAGGAGACAGCCTAGCCATTCTAATCATACGTGCAGCCGAATGAACCTACCATATCTATTCAATTCGTGCAGCCGAATGAGAGTCTACGCATATCTACTCATATCGTCAGCTCGACTGAGAGTCCTACAATCTATCACACGGCAGCCGAAGGAGAGTCTACAATTCTATCAGACGTGCAGCTCGAATGAGAGCTCTATGCCATATCTACATAGCTGGGCAAGCCGATGAGACCAACCATATCTAGCATACGTGCAGGCCGATGAGAGCCTAACCATATCTATCATTACGTGCAGTGCCGATGAGAGCCTACGCAATATCTATCATAGCGTGCAGCCGAATGAGAGCTACCATATCTATCATACCTGGCCGCCGAATGAGCGGCCTACCCCCTATCTACCAATACGTGCAGCCGAATGAGAGTCTACCATATCTATCATTAACTGCGGCCAATGAGAGTCTACCATATCTATCATACGGCAGCCGGAAGAGAGCCGTACGGACATATCTAAATCATACTGCAGCCGAATGAGAGCCTACCATTATCATCATAACTGGCGCGCGAATGAGACCTACCAATTACTACATAATCGTGGCGGCCGAATGAGAGCGCTACCATATCATATCAGAGGCGCCGTGCAGCCGAATGAGAGTCTACCATATATGCTTATCATAGCGTGCAGTGCCGAATGAGAGTCTACCATATCTATCATATATCGTGCAAGCCGAATGAGAGCCTACCATATCTATCATCACGTGCAGCGAATGAGAGTCCTACTCATATTCTATCATACGTGCAGCCGAATGAGAGCTACAATCTATCAACGTGGCAGCTCGAAGAGAGTCTACCATATCTATCACACGTGCAGCGATGAGAGTCTACCATATCTAAATCATACTGGGCAGCGATATGAGGAGCCTACTATATCTAATGCATACTGCAGCCGAATGAGAGCCTACTTACTACATACTGCGGCCCGAAATGAGAGCCCACCAAGTCTATCAGCAGGCCGGGCAGCCGAATGAGAGTCTAGCAATGCTATCATACGTGCAAGGCCGAATGAGAGGCCTACTTATCCCTCTCATACGTGCAGAGCCGAATGAAGAGTCTACCATATCATCATACGTGCGGCGAATGAGAGAGCCTACTATACTATCATAGCGCTGCAGCCGAATGAAGTCTAACCATATCCTATCATACGTGCCGGCCCGAATGAGAGTCAATCCATATCATCATACGTGCAGCCGAATGGAGAGCACCAAATGCTATCATAGGCAGCCGAATGAGAGCCTACCATAGTCTATCATACATGCAGCCGAATGAGAGCCTACATATGCTATCATACGTGCAGCCGAATGAGAGCCTACCATATCTATCACACGGGCAGGCGCGAAATGCAGAGTCTAACCATATCTATCATACGCGCCGCGAATGAAGAGTCTACCATATCTATCAACGTGCGAGCCCGAATGAGAGCCCCAGTATCTATCATACATGCAGCCGAATGAGAGCCTACATAATCTACATACGTGCAGCGCGAATGAGAGCCCTAACCATATCTTATCACACGCGGCAGCCGAATTGAGATCTACCATATCTATCATCACGGTGCAGCCTGAATGTAGAGTCTAACCAATATCATTATCATACGTAAGCCGAATAAGCCTACCATATCTAATCATACGGTGAAGGCCCGAATGTGAGTCTACCATATCTATCATACGTGCAGCCGAATAGAGCCCACCCATATCTATCATACGTGCAGCGCGAAATGAGAGCCTACCATAATCTATCATTACGTGCAGCCGAATAGAGTCTATCCATATCTAATCATACTGAAGCCGAATGAGAGCGCTACCATATCAATACGGCGCAGCCGAATGAGAGCTCTACCATATCGTATCATACGTGCAGGCGAATGAGAGTCAGCCATATGCTTATCATACGTGTCTAGCCGAATGAGAGCGGCCTAACCATATCTAATTCATACTGCAGCCGAATGAAGAAGCCTGACCATATCTATCATACGTGAAGCCGAATGAAGTCTACGCATAATCTTATCATACGTGCAGCCGAATGAGAGTCTACCATATCATCATCACGTGCAGTCCGAATGAGAGCCTACATATGCTATAGATCATACGTCGCCGAATGACGAGCCTACCATATCTATCATACGTGCAGGCCGGAATGAAGGCCTACCAATATCTATCATACGTGCAGCCGAATGAGAGGCCTACCATAATCTATCATACGTGGCAAGGGGGCCGAATGAGAGTCACCATAGTCTATCAACTGCAGCCGAATGCGAGCTACCCTATCTATCATACGTGCAGCCGAAGTGAAGTCTACAGTTATCTATCATAACACGATGCACCCGAATGAGAGCTACCCATAGTCTATCATACGTGGCGCGCCGAATGAGAGTGCTACCATCTCTATCATCGTGCAAGCCGAATCGAGAGCTATCATATCTATCATACGGTGCAGCCGAATGAGAGTCTACATACGTCTATGCATACGTGAAGTGCCGAATGAGCAGTCTACCATATCTGATCAAACGTGCAGCCGAAGAGAGTCTACATAGTTATCATACGTGCAGCCGAATGAGAGCTACATATGCTATCATAACTGCAGCCGAATGAGAGTCTATACGCATATCTACAACGTGCAGTCCGAAGGAGAGTCTACCATAGTCTATCATAACGTGCAGCCGAAGAGAGTCTACCATATCTATCAAAATACGTGCATCGTCCGCATGAGAGTCCTGACCATATCTATCATACGTGGCAAGCAGGAATGAGGAGCCTAACAATATTATCAACGCTGCGCCGAATGAGAGCCTACCATATCTATCATGACGTGCAGCCGAATGAGAGCCTACATATCTATCATACTTCAGGCCGATGAGAAGTCCACATATTATTCGATACGTGAGCCGAATGAGAGCCTACCATATCTAATCATACGTCAGCCGAATGAGAGCCTACCATATCTATCATCGGGCAGGTCGAACTGAGAAAGCCCCCTTACCATATCTAAATACATCAGCGCGAAGTGAAGATCCTAACGCATATCTATCATACGTCAGGCCGAATGAGAGTCTACCATACCTCTATCATAACTGTAACGTGCAGCCGAATGAGAGCCTACATATTTTATCATACGTGCAGCCGAATGGAGAGCTTACGCTATCTATCATAACGTGCAGCGAAGAGAGGCCTACCATATCTATCAGACGCTGCACGGCGAATGAAGAGCCTACCATATCTACTCACACGGGCTGCCGAATGAGAGTCTACCATATCTATCATATCGTGCAGCCAATGAGAGTCTACCAATATCTATCATACGTGAAGGCCGAATGAGAGCCTAGCATATCTATCATACGTGCAGCCGAATGAGAGTCACCCAATCTATCGATAGCGTGCAGCCGAAATGAGAGCCTACGCATATCTATCATACGTGCAAGGACTGAATGAGAGCCTACCATATCTATCATACGTGCAGCCGAATGAGAGCCTACCATATCTATCATACGTGCAGCCGAATGAGAGCCTACCATATCTATCATACGTGCAGCCGAATGAGAGCCTACCATATCTATCACACGGGCAGCCGAATGAGAGTGGAATAAACTATAGAGCGAACACAATGCGAACAACTGAAAACCACATCTTATTTGCGATCGCGATATCAAAGATCGGTACGTCTTTACGCATTTGTGCCTCGGCTCAGAAACGTAGCAGGCACAGGCGGTTGGTCGTGTTGAAACAAGCAAGAATGAATCCCTGTTATTAATTAATTAATTAATCGTATTAATCATATGATTATAAGTACAGTACGTTGCTCAAGCTACGTACGTGCGTAACCTTACTTAACACGATTTAAAAATCAGACTTGGGTTTCCATTCATTTCTTTCGTTCTACAATTCATGTGCTCTCGATATGGATTATTTCTTGAAACGCCAGACGAAAAATTACGGTTTCACTCGTCGCTACTCAGTCGAGTCACGAAATTTGGCCACCTAGGAATTCGCTCAGGCAGCGTTATCTACAGTATGAGCTCGTTGTCTCATTGTCAACAGGCTGGCGGATGAGGCTCGTGCGATGGCATCGGCTTTATTCGACTTTATCTACTCGTGAAATGGATCGTAATTACTCGTAATTTCGATGTCATCTCTGTCGGCATCAGCTTCCGTGGTCGATGTTGTCTGAATAAAGGACCCGCGCGGTGCTATTTGTGTTGTGTGTGCACCGTGCTGGGAAGCGATTGCAGTAAAAAAAAAAAGCAGCTTAGTGTGGAGCTTAGTGTGGTTGGGTGGCCAGTTGAGTTAAAACTTAAAGTACGGTTTTACGATGTTGTCATGTTAGTTAACGGAGGTTAAAGCCGTGAATAGCGGAGGTTAAGACCGTGTAATAGTCATTGTGCGGACGTGTGCGTACGTATGGGGCACATAAATGAGAAATAAGCTCATAATGTGAATACCTTCCTCTGATTTCTTCTCTTACGCATTACATAACTTGGAAGTCTACAGAATATTATTACTGCTACTACTACCGCTACTATCACTACTGCTGCCGCTGCTGTTTTTGCTGCTACTGCTGCTGCTGCTTCTTCATGTACTGCTCTAAGTCTCTAACAAAAAATTCTTTGCAGGAATCGATGAAGCGATATAAACTGTGCAAGGAGCTGTCAGATCAGGTGAACTACTGCGAGGCGGTGAGATTCAACGACATCCAATCTGCGCAGAAAACACGTACGTACCCTTGCCCCGTCCCATCTCAGAGAGTCGTAAGGCATTTGCATTCGCCAATGACTTGCATTCGCTTTGTGTAGATTCAAGAGCAAGGCCGTTTTAACGACAGTCGAATTTCATGGTTGCGAACGAATTTCTTGCCGAATTCGTACGTCTGCTAACGTTCCATGACGGTGGCGCTCAGAGTTGGTCGCTGTTTGTTTATTTCAAAAGATTGATACAAAAGTTTCAGCGAGTTGCATTCTTGCGTGCCGCTCTGTTGTTGCCAGCTGCTTGATTCATTGTCAGAATAGGAGTGTAATACTGCGGTGTGCACTTTGTATCTTGGAAGTTGGGTTATATTTGGTTATTTGTGGTTATATTTAAGATTACAGGGTTTGGTATTGGATGGGCAGATGACATGTTAATATAAAGCAGCTCTATATACATTGTCTTGTACATACTTACTTACTTACTATGTACATCTAGTCTTGTCAAGTTGCAATGCATTTATGCCTTTGGCATTGTGTTGGCACTAAAGATAGATTCAAAGCAATTTCGCTATCTAAATTTCCGTGTCTCCTCAAGTGCTACCGTGTGTGTGACATTCACAGAAGTCTGTGGGGGTAGGCTATAGCCAGTTCTCCACACTCTGTTATGAAAGAATCAGAGCATCTCTGCGGGCAAAAGTATCAATTATGTGTTAATTTGTTAAGTAAGTCCGAACAACTGTATTATCTGTGTTGAAGGTTGTTAATCTATTTCATGAATGATTGATTACATTAGTACCTCGTAATAAAACTCCTGTGTTTGCACGAGGATTTAATCGCATAAATTCACCCTGCTAATTACAAAATCATCATTGTTGTTGCCTTCACTTCACTTCACAAACCTAAGCTAAGTAGCTTAGGTTAATATAAGCTTATTTAATCATATATAATATTGAAACACGATTAGCATACGTTTATATTGGAAGGTGCTGCCATCTGTTGCAGAACATTTCTGGGAGACGTGTTCGCTGAGTGAGTCGGCTGCGGCGAAGCTCGCGCATGGCTGCCCTGAGGACTTTGTCAACTACAATAAGCACTTTCTAACGCTGGTGCACCCGAATCAGAACAGGGTCGACTCCAGCAATTTCAACCCTCACGACATGTGGAACTGTGGCAGTAGTATGGGTACGTGTAGCTAGAGGTGTCTGGTGTAAACGTGTAATACACGTGATATGTGTGACCGTGGCAGTAGCATGGGTACGTGTCGTTAGAGATGGGTCGTGCTCACTTATACACTCTTACTCTTACTCACTACTTAGAGGTGTAACACATGATGCAGAACCATGACAGTAGCCGAAGTATGTAGATAGAACAGAAGTAGAACAAGTTGTGGATGGTGTACATGCTATTTTCTAGATGTGTACAGGTGTAGGTGTAGAGGTGTAGGTGTTTTGTTAACGGTGTTTCAGCCAGTAATGTTACCACTGCGCTGCACTGCTCCATGCACACTATTATGTTGTAACAGCATTTGTTACTGTAGCGTCTATTGCGTTACGTGGGACGTATATTATCTTTTTAGGCCTGTAATGTGGCAAGATGTGGGCAAATCGAGGATAATCACCAGTTGTTACTCTGCGCTGGTTAACCACAAGAGAATCATCTAGCTAATGGCCTCTCTGTGCAGGAACAGACTGAATAAATGCAGTTTCATCCGGCTAGCCCTAATTTCTTGCTTGACTTTTGTCGGACATCTCGAATATCACAAGCGAAAAAGCCGGAAAAAACTGCAGGCCTCTTTACGCATAGAGCAATGCTTATCTTACCTAATATACTTTAAAGGGACACACGATCCTAAGTTTCTTGCATATTTTAAGTTAAAATAGGTTTAAATTATGCTACATACAACATTTTATTGTTCAATGTTGATTAGAAATTTAATATTTTATTTTAAAATTTACGGCTATATTGTTGCTTACAAGGACGGTGGTGCCACTACTAGCGCATCTACGTTTTAAGTTGTGCATCGCAACTTTGCGGCTGCAGGCTACAGACCGAGGGTGTTTCTTATTTATCAATTTAAGAGGAGAAGGATTGAAATATCTTATACACAACTCTTTAGTTTCAGTTATAATATGGACGAATTTGTCCTAAAATTAAAATCGTTCCTTTAAATAGCAGTTAGGTATAAATATAATCACCCTTTTGTGATTATCCCTCGGTCTGTAACATGCAAAATAAATTGCCAAAAGCGCAACTTCGTCAGGGTGGCACCAGCACAATCACAGGGTGTCATATCAACGGCCAACACCCACCCACCCCCGCTCCGTTACCCCATTTCCCCATCACCGGCATCTACGGGCGTGTTTGTTTGGTCAGATCCACGGATCTCGATCCAATGGATTCGTTGATCTGACTGTTTGTTTGGTCGGATCCACGGATCTCGATCCACCAAACCCGACCCTGCTAGCGAGGTGGATTCGAACGGGATCCAATATGGCGGCCTGCGCCTCAGCCAATCACAGCTTGTTCTTTATTATGAACCATCCCGTGATAGGTCACAGCGAAACGTGAACCGGTGAAAGTGAGTTTGCGTTTATTTGGTCCAGGGTTCGATCCAGTGGATCGGTATTCGTGGATCCGACCAAACAAACACGCCCTTCGTCTGCTTACAGTGGCGATGAACTATCAGACGCCGGGTCTGATGATGGACCTCAACACGGGCTACTTCATGCAGAACGGAGGCTGCGGCTACGTGCTGAAGCCAGCGATCATGCGCGAGGAGATCTCCTACTTCAGTGCCAACACGAAGGGATCGTTGCCCGGCATCTCGCCGCAGACGCTGCACGTGAAGGTAGGTGGCGCCGGCGCAGCGGCACGGGGATCGACGCGAGCGCGGAACGGATTCGCGATGAGTCGGCTGCGTATATACGACGAACTATGCTTGAGAGAGTGAGAGGTGGTAACTGCAGAGGGGTAGAAGAGGGGGATTGACGGAGGAAGCGAGAAGTGGTAAACAGGGAGGGTGGGATTGAAGAGGGAGCGAGAAGTGGTAAATAGGGAGGGGAGGGATTGAAGAGGGAGCGAGAAGTGGTAAATAGGAGGGGTGGGATTGAAGCGAGGAAGGCGAGAGTGGTAAATAGGAAGGGGAGGGATTGAAGAGGGAGCGAGAAGTGGTAAATAGGGAGGGGTGGGATTGAAGGAGGAAGCGAGAAGTGGTAAATAGGGAGGGGAGGGATTGAAGGAGGGAGAAACGGAGGAGGGACGGAGTGAGGATGGCAAAGAGAAAGAAAGTAAAAGCGATAGAGCGAGATGCAGAAAGAGAGCAAGAGAAACCACCTTACATAAGCTGTCATGGCTTTAGCCTAATGGTGTGCACTGTGACACTGTTAGTGTGAGCGATAAGTAAGCAATGGGCCAGTTGTTATTATATAGTAGCACATGGTTTTTCGAGAGTCATGAAGTTGTGTCGAGAGCAAGATAGGGAAAGAAGTGGAAGATAGAGCGTGAAAGTGTGTGAACGTGCATGTGATAAAGGGAAAAGGTGAGAGTGGGTGAGAGAGAAAGAGAAAGGTGGAGGGAGGAGGAGTAATAGAGATCGTGTGCATGTGTGTGCAAATGAGCGAGAGAGACAGAGAGTAAGAGAGAGAGAAAGTGGGAGAGAGTGAGAGAGAGAGAGAGAGAGAGAGAGAGAGAGACGAAGAGTGGGAGGGAGAGAGAGAGAGGTGGAGGGAGAGAGAGAAGAGAGAGAAACAGGGGAAAGAGAGAGAGAGAGAGAGAGAGGGAGAGGGAGAGGGAGAGTGGGAGAGAGACAGAGAGAGAGAGAGTGAGAAAGAGAGACAGGGAGGGAGATCAAAAGCGAAAAGACAGCATTAAAACCCAGTCACACGTTACCCCGCACAACCTCATCTGCGCCATCCGCACATTACGACACGCTATGACTCGCTAATCGACCTCGCCGGCGTCGTTGCAGGTGATCAGCGGGCAGGAGTTTCCGAAGCCGAAGGGTTCCGGAGCGAAGGGCGACGTCATCGACCCGTACGTTCTCGTCGAGACGTTCGGCATTCCGGCCGACTGCGCCGAGTCGCGCACGAAGACCGTCGGAACGAACAGTGAGTGCCGCGAACCTGCGAACCTTCCTCGTTGTTCCCCGCCTTTGAAGTCTCGCTCAGAACCCCACCTGTGGTGTCTGTTGTTCACAAACATTGTGAATAGTTGCGACTATCGTGAACCTGAAATGTCGTCATTTTTTGCACGACGCTTCACTTCAAAAGCTATGAATTTTAAGAAGGTGGAAGAATAGTAGTCATAACTAATCGTGATGTTTCTGACAATGGGTACCTGAACCCAAGAACTACCTAAAACTCTAATTAATTCTTACGTGGCACGACCCCGTTTAGATGTCCTACCTGTGAGCAGAGTGGCAGTGATAAAAAATAAAGGTGAAATGTTTGTGATCTGTCAGAGATGTCCTTCACAAGCCATCGCCATGGTTACGCACACTAAAAACTTGCTTAAAAACTACTTGGAGCTACCGAGAGTTACTATAAAAGTAGCACAACCCCGTATAGATGACAACCCCGAATTGCAATGATTAAACAGAGCTGAACCCTCACGAAATGATTTCAATAACCCAAGAAATGTGGTATGATGTTGAGAAATTTCAAAATTTGTGGCCATGAAGTTATACTTAGGCTAAGAGTATAATTATTGACAATTTCATAGGCAATATAAATGTCATACAATTTAAGCGAAATGTACTGTTTTATTAAAGCAATAAACGTTAAAAGTATTAAATTTAAAAGAAGTTGTAGCTTTTTCATCATAGAAAAGCATTGTCGACAGAAGTCACAGTTGATTGACTGGATCTAGATTGTGAAATTGTGAATGCTGTTGCCGGTGGCACTGTCTCAAATTTCTCAAGTCTGATTCTTGACGACTTCCGTTCACTTCCGTTTATTTTACAGTTGGAAATATGTTCTCTATATGAGCGCATACATTTATTGTTGTGTAACCTATAATTTTATATATGCTTTCGGTATGAGTGCTTATGTTCACTGTTGTTTATTGTATCCCCCGCGACGAAGTCGGCGGGGATACTATGGTTTCATGTTTCCCCAGCCGCCGCCGCCGCTCGGTCTGCCGCAGAGAATTTTCTTCTGCTCTATAACTCGACCCCTACAGTTGACCTAGCGTGACCAAACTTGGCTGTCAACTATCACATCTTGGAGTAGGTGTACAGACGCAGGTCGGCCAGGGGCGTGTCGGGGGTTCGAACAGAACCCCCCCGACCCTCCCCCCAAGCACAAAAACAATTTTTTTGAAAATTGCAAGAACTTTCACCTCAGCGCCTTCCAGTTTTAGCTGAATAATTTCGCAAAATCTCCATCGTGCGGGAAGGAACAGTGAATACCCCCCTCCCCACACCTCCCCCGCTCGGTCGCTTGGCTCCTCGCGCCTGCGCTCGCTTCGCGCCCGAGCGAGGGCGTGTACAGGGGGGTCCAGGGACGCCGGACCCCCTTGCGTCGCAGCAGACAAAGCTATCTGAGGGCGTGTAATTTTAAAAAATTGCTGTGGCGAGGGGCCCCCAGACCCCCCTTTCGCCGGCTCGCCCAACTATGGGTTCGGTTAGAACCCCCCTGGTACAATTCCTGTAAAACCCCTGCGAGCAAATTCAAACACTGAAAAACGAACCCCCCCCCCCAATAGGAAGCTTGGCTACGGGCCTGTACAGAGTACCAAAACCAGGTCACTGCGACCTTTATTTGACCTTACCTTGACCTTGATCATATTTCCCTTTCGCTCTCTAACTCGGTCCCTAATTGACCTAGCGCTACCAAACTTGGTATACTTACCATCTTGGGGAGAAGGTGAGCAGCGTACAAAACCAGGTCACTGCGACCTTTATTTGACCTTTATTGCATCGACTTGATCATATTTCCCTTCTGCTCTCTAACTCGGCCCCTAATTGACATAGCGCTACCAAAACCGGTCACTACAACCTTTATTTGACCTTTACCTTGACTTGAAATCATATTTCCCTTCCGCTCTATAACTCGGCCCCTAATTTGTTCCTTCTCCTAGGCGTGCTTTCTGTACGAGTTCTTTACATTACTCTACAGGTGAAAATATGTTTCTCTAAATGAGGTTTTATATGGCTGTATTATTCTATCCGATTGAGAAATATCTTCCCCACTATGCAAGTGCTAACTTTTAGCTGCTGTAAATGCGATTATCAACAGCTCAAAACGTCTTTCACCCGAGCGAATTTGTTTATTTATTATTATAATTTTTACTGTTATAAAATGTTTATAATGCCTGTTAATACAATGCCCACAGTATAAATGCCTGTTATAAAATGCATGCCGATGAATTTGTTATGCCGATTATGTTTTTATGTTTACAGTTGCAGCTCCGATGCCTGTTTCACAGGTTTCAACCCATCTGACTGATGAAGAGCTTTGAGTTCTACATCAACCTGCGGAGCTAAGCACTCGTCCGCTTCGTAGTAGTTGGGAATGACCGAATACATAGGCGACGACTTCATCGGACAATACGTGATCCCGTTCTTCTGCCTACAGACCGGTACTATTACACATACTCCATATAAAGTACGTGATCCCGCTTCTTCTGCCTTACACCGACCGGATACTATTACACATACTCATATAAATACGTGATCCCGTTCTTCTGCCTACAGACCGGTACTATTACACATACTCCATATAAATACGTGATCCCGTTCTTCTGCCTACAGACCGGTACTATTACACATACTCCATATAAATACGTGATCCCTTCTTCTGCCTACAGACCGGTACTTTACACATACTCCATATAAATACGTGATCCCGTTACTTCTGCCTACACCGACATACCTATCTATAATTACTATCCTTTTCTTACAGCCGGTACTATTATCAACCCCATATAATACGTGATCCCGTTCTCTGCGCCACAGACCGCGGTACTATTACACATACCCTCATATAAAATACGTGATCCGTTCTTCTGCGACTAAGACCGTATTATTAACAACATACTCCCATTGAAATACGTGATCCTGTTCTTCTGCCTACAGACCGGGTACTATTACACAACTCCCATATAAATACGTGATCTCGTTCTTCTGCCTACAGACCGGTATTATTACACATACTCCGTATAAGTAGAAGTATCAGCAGGAGAGAAAGCAGAGGTAGCAGGTGGTAGCAGCAACAATATGAGCTATATTAATACGTATAGTATATATATATATACAATAACCCTTAACGTACATATAATACAGCTATTTGGCTACATTCTTTCACATTATGGCCTTTAATCCTTCTATACAGGGTATTTTTCCGACGATAACAAACAACTGCTCGGTCGCACGTCGAATAAAGAAACTCGCTTTATAATTGCTTCACGTATTTATTTCTTCATTCTCAGGTTACCGGCACATCAGGTTGTTATCGAACACCGGAGAGCCACTAGACAATTCAACCCTGTTTGTACACATAGCAATCACGAACACTCGCGAATCTGAGGTGAGGGCATGGTACAGAGTGAAGGTAAATCGCATGTCCTTCTTCTCGCACTGTATTGATTGCAGTTGAGCTTCTCGCGCAATGCTATTGAATTCACGATGACCGTAGCGTTTGCCTCGTCAGTTTAAAATTATTGAGTCGATTGAAAAAAGACGGAAGTATTTTTTACCGTTGACTGTGCGTTGATTCGTAAATCGCTGCAAGCTAGGTGTATGAGAAACGCAGTATCTTTTTTTTAGCTGCGATTACTGCATCTCTGAAAAAATGTTCGCTACCAACAATTGGTTGCTTTCACCAACATGTAGCTGTAGGGGTGAGTCTTGCGAAAATGCACGGTGGTAGAAAGCGATTTCACTCTTGTTATTAAGGGAAAACCACAGGGCAAGCGAGGCAGCACTGTGCGAAAGCCGAGTAAGCACTTGCGCGAGGGCAGCTGTGTCAAGCTCATCGGTGTCAAGAGCCTGGACGACTTGTTCAAGGTAGGCTCGTCATGCACAGCCATGCTTGCACGCACGCACGCATGCATGCATGCACATCAACGCATGCACGAACGCACATACGCACACACGGACTGACTTCTCTCTCTTTCTCCCACTCTCGCTCCCTCTACCACTCCATCTCCTTCCCCCTTTCTCCCTTTCTTCCCTCTCCTGCTCTCTCTATCGCTATCTTTTCTTTCTCTCTCCCTAGCTGTGTTTCCCCCTCTCTCTCTCTGCCTCCTCCCTCCCTCCTTCCTTCCCCCTCTCTCTCTCTCTCTGTCTCTCTTTCGATTAGAAGCCATCTGCTGGCCTCCGTTAACTTATCCACAAGCACATCCCCCTCTTCCTGACCCTCTTGCATCCCCCCTCCTTCCCTCGCCTTCTCCCCCTGCTCGCCTTATCCCTATCTTCCTCCTCCTCGCGCACTGCACGCGCAATATCCCACGATGGGATTTTGCCTTTCTCGCCTCTCCCGTCCTCCTCTGGCGTCTCCTTTCCGCACTTGCACGCACAATATCCCACGATCTCTCAACTGCACTCTCACCCTCCCCCCTCTCTCTCCGCTCCCCTCATTCGCGCTTCGACACGCCCGCGGGCAGCAGTATAACCCACGAAATGTCCGCGGTCTTTATCTACTTCTCTCCCCGAACACGTTGTGCGACGGCAGCGGTTCGGTGCTTGAGGAGGCCGCAGGAGCTCGCATCAACGTCGCCGATAATGGTAGACGGCCACTTTAAGGACTGTGGCGCGCGACTGCATCAACCAGACATCAATCAGTGCATAAGGCACATACGACTCGCGCGCGCGCTTGCGATGTCCATACGACGCCGACGCTAAGGCAACCCGGCCCACGCCGCGAACCAGATCGTCATCGAGCAACGAGGTAGCGAGCGAGTGAGTGTGTGGAGCCACTCAAGTGAAGCCGCAGCACGCGGGAGACAAGTGATCCGACGCCGGCCCAAGCAAGTCGACACTCGTGCTGCTGCTGCAGCCAGAATATGCGAGCGCGCGGCGCAAAACAGTGACATTGGCTTCTCCGCATGCATTCAGATGAGTGCCAGACGAGCGAGCGGCACGCAGAAGATGGGTTCATAATTGCGAGACTAATTCGTTCGAGTCTTTAGAACGAGAGATAAAACGATCACAGTTCAGGTGGCTGAATTTCTAGACCAATAAGTGAACGATTCCCAGCAAAAAGTCTAGTACAAGAAATATGTAATCTCCGAGAAGTTGTTCTAACATAACGTAAGCTATTCCAGCGAGGTTTGTCGACTTAAGCAGTGCGTTGTTGTAATGACTCACTTGTTTTTCTCAGTTTCCACGTGTCGAGGTCACCGGTATTGTACCAGACTCTCTTCGCAAGGTTTTAACTGCATTTTCAAATGTAAGCACATACTTGATGTTCAGTGTGGTGATATTTATGTATTCTTGTATGCAGGTAGTAGGTGTGTTTGGATGCATATCTGCTGATATGCAGTTTGTGCACGCATTCAGGCCTAAAGTTAAACTGCGCTGGGAAAACGTGCCAGAGAAGTTTTCGAATAAGTTTTTATAATATAGGTTTTACATTCTTAAAGAAATCCATGATGGTTGTAATTATGTGATTAATATAAACAATTATGAGAGCACTTTGCCTTATTTATGTTTACAGATGGTAGAGGCTTGCAAAAATCTCATAGACAATGCAGAACCATTAAAGGATAAGGTGAGATGTGTGTGTAGGTGAGAAAGCTGTGCATGTTGTGCTCATGTGTGTAGCCAAGCTACAAGCACAGCAGTCGTTGACTAATCGTTCCTATTGGATAGATGGTAACAGGTGATTTTGGTTGATTGCTGTGGATCTCATTACAATTTGCAAGTATAATGGAGAAATGTGCCTACCCAACAATGCCCTTTTTTCTTTTATAGTATATTGCTGCATTTAGCACTGTGCCCAGTGATGCACTGTGCCTTCTTGATAATCCCACACTGGTTGTCGTTAGTGCATCTACCTGTATCGGTTTTCATTACATGCATTGTTTACATGAATTGGAAGAAATTGCAAAAAACTGCCAGAAAACGCGAGAAATCGCCAGACCGATTCCTCTACTGAGTCCGTAATTGAGATTCGTCGGTTTTCTGCTGCAGTTGCTGGCGGTGGACGAGAAGGCACTCGAGTCTTACGCAGACCTCAACGAGCTCTGCACCCTCGCCGGTCTAAAGGGCCGAAAGATCACCAAGGTATGCAACACGGAGCGTGCCGCGTGTCTCCCGCCGAGCCGAATAGGGGGAACGCATAGACACATCGATGGATAGCGTGATTGATAGACGGGTGGATGGGTGGATGGATGGATGGGTGGATGGATGGATGGATGGCTGGATGGATGGATGGGTGGATGGGT